AAAAGGAGAGACATTGTGTTTATTGCAATACTCAGAGGAGAGGCTTTGGGGAGTAGACGTAAGTTATGTTGACCAAACGACTATAAATTTCTGTGTTCTTTATTACTGCTTCTGCATTTCCGCACTTTGATTTCTTTGTGGTGAACTTTGGTTTGAGTTTGTGCTTTTGCTTAAAATTTTTTTAAAATACCAATTTATCCCCTCCCCCCTCTTGGTTAGCCTTGGGACTAGTTCATTAGGCTTAAAGATGAGTGCGATAGGTGTTCTATCATTCTCTAGATTGTATCTGTTCTCTTCTTTTTAGTTAATTGCATTTGGCATTTTCAAAAAAAAAAAAACATCCCTATCAAACTATCAAGTGGTATCAAAGCACTTTCAATCTTTTGATATTTAGAATGAATTGGTAAACTTTTAGTTAATTCCTATTAATAATAAATCCTCAATTTTAAATCCTTGCCTAAATCATTATATACTATTAATATATTTATTCAACATTTTAATCAAGAGTTTTCTTAAAATCTCCACTTAATATCTAATCAACCATAAGGAACATACAACCCTAGCTTAAAATAAATCCTTTTTTTTCACTAAGATTTGAAAAAAGTTTTTGGTGTCTAGAAAATATTTTAAAATATATTCTTATTTTCAAATTTATCATAGAATATCATTTCTATCTTTCATGATAATATATTATTTTCTATTTTATATTTGAGTATAAAATAGTGCTTTTTATTTTTATTTTGAAATCGATAGTAAACACCAAGTTTATCTTTTGAGATATATAGTGTGTTGATCTCTATACATTTTTTGGCTATAAAAATATAAATTTCAAAATCACATGAGAAATTATTTTCTCGCGGATTCTTCTGGTGACTCTGTTGAAGATGGTTCCTCTCTACATCTTTAGTGGTAACTAAGTATTTTATATCACTTGTACACTTATTCTCGTAGTAGGTCTAAACTACCATTTTCCTACTAGTCACTTTACTCATTTCTTCCTTGGGTAAGTGTGATTATCATTCAAATTTGTATAAAGATGTGATTTCTATCTTTTGAATCTTTTGGTGAAACCTCTTGGGTTTCAAGAACTTCCAATTTAATTAAAATTTGATAGGTTAGATTATGAATTTTAGAGTTCCCCAAATAATTCATGGCTTGCTATATAAACCTATCAAAATAAAACCTTCCATTTTTAAATGTCTTATTCAATTCCTTTCTCAGTCTTGATTAACATGTCATAATTACATTTTTTCTTGTAACTTGATGTTTTTATCTTGATTGGGACCATAAGATCTTCAATCTAAAATTAAATTCATTGAGCTCAAATCTTTTTCTATCATTATATATGTTGTAGTTATATTTCTTGTAACCTAGTGTGTATAATAGGAGTTCAATTAGTTTGATGAGTTTAAAATTTTTAGAGCTATATATTTTGCTTAAAGCAAATGAGTTCAGAAAGCTAATATCGAACTATGATTACATTAAAGAAATGACTGGCAAAAACATTTTTAGCTTTTCATGCAACTTAAGAATGGTTTTGAACCAATCCTAGAAGCCATATTAGATCTTATAAAGTTTGGGTCCATATTTGATAATTTGATAATGATTATGAATGGTCTACAATATATAGGTACTTAGCCTGCCAAAATTAAATAAAATAAGAAAATTCTAGAGTGAACTATTAGAGGTGGGTATGTGGTTGCACATGCATCCCCTAATACTTATATGTCCTAAAGGATTAGCCAATTTTACCAAAATTTTAAGTCTATTACTTCTGATCTTCCTACCCCCTTGGTGGCCACTAGTACTGAAATTAGGTCATCATCCACTACTATTTCTGTAATGACCAAGATGAACAAGAACCACTTCATGAGGTGAAGATCAGAGAATGAGAGATTTAAGAAATTAGTCATAGTCCCTATAAGGGAATCCAATGAAGATGAGATTCTCCCTACTTCGTTATTGGGTGCTAATAGATTTCATCCTCTCATTGTTTTCAATGGAGAGGAAGATATAAAGTGGATTGTCAATTCACCTTCACCTACATTAAATAATCCAGTTGTCCCATCAATAGATGATAGAAAGTGGATATTTTAGTATCAGCTGAAAGGTAAAGTCTAGAGATGTATTGATAACTTTGGATACTCCAAGTAAGACTTGTTTAGAGGTATCAAGGGGCAAGTAGTGAAAAAGTGAAAACTATAATTTTGAACAAAGATATTGCTAATGTTAGCATTATGGGATAGTTGATTGCCAAAGGCTAAGATATAAAACTTAAGTAGTTTTCCATGTCTGTTATTGACGATAGCTATCAGTAAGAATTGATCCAGTTCTCTAAAAAGTTTAATAATATAATTTTAACTTGTGGTCTTCCCAGAGAATCCCTAAAAATTTATGTAAGGAAAGAATTTTTCCACCAAAATCATTTAAATTTGTCTCTATTTGCATATATAATCCTTAATAATCCTTCGAATGTTTCTCGACACTCTTATATGCATCTTCCACCTAGAGTTAATCAACCCCATTTTCAAGGGGGCATATCATCTTTTTACTCTTATGTGAGAAGGTTAAACTCAACAATTAAACTAACCTTGACATCAAATAAAAAGAAGTTTTAGTGACCTAAATTTTTAGCCACTCCATCCACACTCTTCAAAATTAAGGATAGTGTGGAGGAGGAAGCAAAGAAAAAGAAGATGAAAGGAAAGGAGCCAGTGAGATCTACACCCAAAGAATGTTTACTTTTGTTGATTCATATTACATGTTGAGGAAATAAATAAATAAAGCTATGCGTGAATTGAATGATGGTATACAAAAGTTGAAAAAAGAAGCCATTGAGTTAGAATGGGAATAAGATAACCTGAATATGTCTGTTGAGATTTGCATGGTATACACCAAAGCGCGTTTGCAAAGAGAGTAAGCTACCAAAGCTAGCTTATTAATTGTTGAGATTGAGGAGGGTTTTGAACCAAACTTAACCCAATGTCTCTTAGACTAATTAAATCACAAGTATGAATAGATTTTAAGGGTGGTGAAAAAAGACAAGAGATTATGATAGCCATGTCCGCTTTGCAAAATCAAGGGTTTGCACCACCACGAACACATGTATTGTTGCCTCTACCAAAGTATATTTAGGTGCTAAATAAAGAGAAGGAAGTCGTAAAGAAGTTAGAAGACAAAAGTAATAAAATATGGAAGAGATTATGTGCCATTGATAGATATTAAGAAAACAGTATAACATTAAGTTAAGGAAAAATATCATAGTCCTAATGTACTTAATCCATTTTAATGGGTAGACCCTATCCAGAAGAATATTGGTCATATTGTTATATCCCTGCAAAAGACTTTATGCGCATGTTCTGCTATAAAATTTTTACTTTATTTTACACACACACACACACACACACATATATATATATATATATATATATATATATTGAATGTTTATGCAGCTGTCTTATTTTTAAAGGTTGCATTCGCAATTAATAATTTTATCCAATTGAGAAGCTTCTTGACATAATATATACATTAACATTTTATCATAAACTTTATAGAGTTTAAAATAAACCATACATTAATAAGAAGGCATGATTGAATCTGGAAGTGAAAAAATGAGATACCTTATTAATGAAATAACCACAAAATTCCTACTCACAATTTGATGACATTAATGATCAATTTTTAATTGATATATTATGTTTGGTAAACATGTTTATGAAGAGTTCACAATGAGATACCCTATTATATATAAATTGAGAACATGACTTAATAATATTGATAGATGAGATGGCTACTAAAATATATAGAAAGCTGTAGACGGAAAATTTTATTTGGAAGATCAGTAACAAATTATTAAAAGGATTATTATAAATTTATATTTTTATGGCTGATTAACAATTACTAATTAATAATATTAAAATCTAAACAAATTGTAAAAACATATTCTATAGTTAAAATTGGGCAAATAAAATGAAAAAAAGCGTCAAAATAGTAATGCTATAGAACACTCAAGAGTGAACTTATTGTTTTATGCATATTGGCGAGGTGAGGTGGATAATCTTTTATTTCATTTTTCTAATAGAAATTCTAATAAACTAGTCGATTATTGTACTAACTTTGTTTTAGATATGGTTATTTTTTTTTAGATGAGCTGAGTTGTAATAAAGTTCCTCTTTTTTATTTATTAAAGGAGAATTATGATAGGCTTTCTATCACTTAGTGGGTTGTAATATGCTAATTTTTCTTTAATGCTAATTGGTAATTGCAGTTTCTCAAAAAAAAAAAAAAAAAGTGTAAATTTAATAAAACAATAATTAGGTAAATTATATCATAAAAAAGCATATTTTGAATGATATAAAAGTTAGTGATAGACAAATTTAATAAAGTAAAATATATTTATTAATAATTTTAAGAATGTATGGAACAACTTCTATTCAAAATAAGTCCATACGGCTAAATCTGAGAATACATTAAAAAATTATTAAAAGTAATTTATAAATATAAATTAACACCTTAAATAGCAATGAGTAGGAATTATAAGAAAATATGATCTCATATAACTAATCCCGAGAAGCGAAGGCTGATTGATAGTTATTATATTGTCAGGATTAAACTAAGGCAATATCTTTATTTGGATTGATGAAAAGAGAAGGAAATGGGAAGAGAAGGAAATCTCAATAATTTGTTAGCAGCTACTGATTTAAACTTTTCGTTCTCATTTTACCATTCATTATCACTCAAATTCCCACGATCCAAAAAATTCAAACAGCCAAAATATTTTTCCATTGATAGATGAATGAAAAAGCTGCAGAGTATAAACAATAATCTCAAACCTTTCAACTTCTAAAAATAATATGAAGTTATAAATAAATTTTAAAAAAAAAGTTATAATTCACAACCCTGATTGTTCTTGCACTGCAAATAAATCTAAGAATAAATTAAAAATACAAGTAGGAGTTAATAAGTAACATATCAACCTTTCGAAAAATAAACAGATGAGAGAAACTAAAAAAATCAAAAGCGTGCAATTAACTATAATGCAAATATGTACAATGCAATCCCCATCTGCAAGTAAAAGCAATGACAACACTCACAAATAAAGAAACCTTGACTGAGCCAAGCAGCAAAGGTTCAAGTGAAAATACAACAAAAAGGGGAAAATATAAAGAAAAAGAGGTAGAAGAAGAAGAAGAAATGATGAAAACATAATGCGGAGACTTGACATGACATACCCCTCCCCCCTAAAAGATTTGTGAGATAAAAATCTAAGAAATCGAACTACCAAGTCCCACTATTTTAAATAAATAGCACAAAAATTGATTACAATGACAATATAACAGAAAAACAAAAACAAATGTTCAGCTACTCTCCTGTAGCTACCTGATCAGGGTTGTCTTAGTGCACCCGGTGGTGAGGTAGGCATTGGGTAGTTGTAGCTACATTGAGCACCAGTGAAGGGAGGAGCCTCCACATATGGACACTGTCGCACAAATAAAGAACATCATTATCAGTTTGACATTTCATGCATAAAGCAGAAAGCTTGACTGTTCCTTCTGTGCAAATGAAGGAAAAGAGACTTGCATGGGCATCCAGAATCCATACAAAGCCTACATAGTTTACTTTTCGGCTTCTAGAACTCTTCAAAAAAACAAGTTATGAAGAGAATGAACCGAATTTCTAGATCCATGTTTAGGAAATACCTGAGTTTCAAAAGCTGTATAGTATGGATGTTCAGTAGGTGATTTAGGTGATGTGTAAGGTGAGCTACCATCACTGTATTCCATGTTTCCACTCAAATTGTGAGCACCACCAGTTAGAGTTGCTTCACTCTCACTTGCGTTGCCTGACTTCACCTTCTGAATGTTGTCATTTCCACAATAAAAATTAGCATGTAAACAAACAATTTAGGCATCATTTGGGATGGCTTTTTTACTGCTTCTTAAAATAGCTTTTTAGTACAAAATTTTTTATTTTTGTACTAAAAAACTGCTTTAAGAAGCAGTAAGAAAGTCGTCCCAAATGAAACCTTAATGATTTACAAAAATGAATGAAATACTACAAATACCTGAAAGATTTTTCCAAGAGTTTTCAGCCCTTTAGCTCTGTCCCTAAGTTCTTCCTTCTTAACAGAACTCTCTTGAAGAACCTAAAATTGAGTAAATAACACAAGTAAGATTCCATGATTGATGCAAGTTAAACGTTCGCTGATTTAGAATTTGTCGCACATGAGTTGAACTATATACAATCAAATTACTTGCATGAAAAAAAAAAGAGATGAATGGGGCATTGAAGGTGGAATCGGTTGGATTAGGAGGAAGATGGGGATGATTTCTCTATGGGAAATGAACGAAATATCTACAGCAATTAATTGGAAGTTTTTTTTAATTTGATTCTTAAATTTGTATATTCTTTACTTTGGCATGTTTTATAGAAATTAAATGTGTAAGAATACCAAATACCCTATAAATATTGAAGTGTTGTTCTTGATTACTAATAAGTCAAAAAATAATATTTTCCTCCAAAGCTTCAATGGTATCGGAAGACAAGATTAGGCTCGACAATCTAACGGAGTTTCCTGAGGGTTCACGACAACCATGGGTAAGTTAGAGCATCAAAGAATCTCCACCTTTCCGATGGAACTTGGCGTGGACGTCAAGATCAATATATGTCCTGACTAGCAAGAACAATTCCTCTTCCACCACTCAAAGTATGAAAGAAAAATATCATACTTACTATTGTCAACATTGATTAGAAGCTTGCTCTTAACTCCTCCCTATAACTAATCATTGGGGGTCTCCGAAAGGATGCTGCGAGTGGGGGTCAAAATATAAAGGGTGCAATCATACTACCCCGTAGGACAAAAAGATCGTAGGCTTTTACGCTCTATGCAAGCAGGTTAATGGGAGAGCAGATGGAGTTATATATACGATTATTCACAGAGAATAGCGCTACACATCTCAATGGATAATAATATGCATATCTCGATAGTCACAAAATTTTCCCATTTCGTTACATCAGCTCGAATGGGTTTATTTGATGTGGTGTTGATTCCCTACGAGCGCAAGTCTCTGCGATTAATTACATCTTAGGCCTCGACCTAAAAATACTCTCAATTAAGGATGTTATATTATCATTTTCTTAGGTTGGTGCATATAGGGGGTTCCTAGGTTTATTCTGAAGAGGATATGTTCTTCTCTTTATCTTTAATGAGGATTTAGATTTTTTTAAAATGTATGAAAAATTGATTAAAATTTTGAGTTTAAAAGATCAAATATTGATTTAATATTTAAGAAGGAATTATAGGCATAGAATTCATTTAGGATTTAAAGAAAACACACTGAGGAGTGTACAACCTGGGCTTATGCTTGCCTGGATGAGCTGCTAGCTAAGACCCTAAACATAATCATTCGCCTTATGTATGCAAGATAAGAATGCTCTATCTTAAAAAATCAAGAATTTTAGTTCACAGATTATAAACAAGACTATATAAAATATGTAAATGAATCTACCTAATGTCATGTATTATGATGTATAAAATAAATGCATAAATAGAAATCTTTTATTTATTTATTTAAGAATATAACTACAACCCAAAATCTATAGAAAAATAAAGTAGCCAAGCTCCACCACAACATGCTTGGGTTTTTACACCTATGAAACATGTAGATTTATATACATTTGCTTATCATCTTCTAACTACAGGTTTTCTTATAGAATGAAATAAGGTAATAACATTCAAAAGAGAGGGAATTATCTTTTGAAATTCTGTGTATTTAAGCAAATACCTTTAAATATTTATAACTCTTGACACCTTATATTTACATTTGGCTCTTTGCATATACATCTACACCTAGGTATAATCTACATTGAATCTTCCTTTACAAGCATCTTAGGTACATTCTACTTTGCTCTTTTTTGCATTAAAGAAAATAATATGAAAATGCATATGCAATGTATGTATGATATGACATCCAGAATAAATAAATAAACAAATATACTAAGTACATTCTTCAGGAAAAAGTACCCACATCACATCAAAACACATTACGACTTAGCTTAAAACTAGAGTCAATGGCTTAGCAAATAAATTATAGTGTAATGAAGTGTATGTTTTTGATGTCTTAAAAGATTTATTGTTTAAGATATTTAAATTTAGAGTTATTTGTTAGTTGTGGAAAAGTGAGGTGTTGATTTGAATTTAAACTTTGATATGTGAAAATATTATTAATGTCTTTGAAATTTATTAATGATTTATTAAATGTCTTAATATACAAGCCTTTTGAATAAAATATTGTTGACCTCTAAGCATTAACCAGCACAAGAAAAATGAAAATCCTGTGTGCATACCTATACCCCGTCGGATCCACATATCCCGTAGAGAAGCTCCGCAAAACTCGCAAGAAATCCTGCATACCTCGTATGCGACGACTCAGTTCGGTTCTCCGGGAATCCTGCACGAAATCGCGCTGAATTCCTGTAGCTCGGCGCCGTTGCGTCGCTTCTCCGTGTTTCCTGCTCAAACCCCGCTCGAGGAGACTCATTCCCTTCGTTAAATACCGACCCAACCTCCACTCTTCCGATCGAGAGAGGTAATTAACTATAGGGGCTTGCGCTTATAGGAAACCAGAACTCAGATCATAAAGTCCTCACAAAATGAGGGCGAAATCTCTGGGTAGTGTCTTATCTACAAACCCATCTGCCTTCCAAAATTTACCTCGGAACTTAGTTCGTTAAAACTCCCTCGCCAAGAATAAGAAAAGCGAGCGGAGGCCGGGGCCGAATTTTTGGAGCCCACAAATATATACATTTTCTCCAAAAGGAATCAACCATAACATATTAGGCTTTGAAGTTTTTTTTTTAATTATAGATTTGGATGAATATTTATTTAGATTGAACAATAATAAACTTTGTTAAACCACGGCTATGAGGTTTATTCATCATCCTTGGGGCTAACTAAATAGCCTCGTAAGTCTAGATTACCCAGTAATTATCTTGATTAATTATATTTGATCTAATCTAATGTGTTGAGTTAATTATTTATTAAAGTATTCAAGAATCTAATGCACTTATGTCTTCCAAGATGGAGGCATATATAGTGCATAAAAGCCCAATTAATTATTTAAAAACCCTCCAATCAAATGCATATGTATTTTCCAGCAAGACTTGAAAACAAAGCAGAAAGATCTTCTTATTATTTAAAATTGATTAAGGATCTTTTAAATCCAATACTAATATGCCCTTAAAAGAGCCAAATAAAAAATATGAAAGGTCCTTCAATTATTTGTTTAGTATTTAACTAATAGGGTCATCACTTTTAAAGCGCTAAGACAATTTTCATCAACTCACTCATATACGAACTTGAGCCATGCCTTAGTCAAGAGCACCTATCTAAAATAAGCAATAAGCCGACGATTTTGCATGAGTACTATTCCTAGTATGTATCCTGATGCATCCGTCGCCACCACAAATGGTCTACCTAAATTTAGGAAGTAATAATGTTGTCACGCTAGTCATGGCTTTCTTTAGTTGCTCAAAGGCCTATGTTATTGCTTCCCCCCAATTGAAACTATCATTACTAAGTTATTTTGTCAGTGACCATGCTATTGTAACATACCATCGCACAAACTTTCGATAGTAATCGATGAAATGCAAGAATCCTCTAAACTCCTTCATTTCCTTAGGTAAAGGCTAATCAAACATAGCCTCAATCTTGGACTGGTCTGTTGCTACCCCTGCTTTGTTCACCACATGTTCTAGGTACTCCACCTGTTGTTGTGTAAAGGAACATTTCTTCGGGTTGGCATATAGCTAGTGCTCTGTCAAAATCACCAGACCGTTCTTAGGTGACTCATGTGCTCTACCTCCTTACCACTACAGATCAAGACATCAAAAAATATCATGACCTGTTTTCTGAGGTAAGGTCGAAGAACTCAATTCATGAGGGACTGAAAAAAGTAGCTGGAGCATTCGTAAGGCCTAAAAACATCGCCATGAACTCATAGTGACCCTCATGGGTTTTAAAAGTTATCTTATGCATATCCCACAACTTCATTTTGATATGGTGGTACCCCGACTTCACATAAATCTTCGAGAAGATGACCACCCCAAACAACTCATTCAACAGCTCATCGATCACGGGGATAGGAAACTTGTCCAGCACATATTTCTTGTTTAGGCCTCTATAATCCACACAAAACCTCCAGCTGTCATCCTTCTTTCTCACCAAAAAAATACGCTGAAAAAGGGGCTCACACTAGGCCTGATAATTCCTACCTCAAGCATCTCTAATGCTCTCTATCTCATCCTCCTAAATTTGCAAATACCATTATGGTCTAACAATGATATGAGAAGCTCCCTCCTTCAAAGTAATGGCATGCTCGTGCTCCCCGAGTGACAGTAATTTGCTAGGCTACTGGAAGACTTCAGAAAACTACTGTAGAAGCTAATGTACATACTCAGGGACCTCGATCAACTATGAATCTCGGACCTCCTCCGGGCTATGCAACTCCACCAAGTAATCCAATCCTGCTCCCTATGTCACCTTGACCATGATTTTGAGTAAAATCATAGTTCTGCACAAGCTGGCATCTCCTCGTAACATCACCCTTTTCCACTCCAACTGAATCTCTATAGTTAAAAATTTACAACCCACCTTCATTACCCCGATCATCTGTAATCACTTCATCCTTAAGATCATATCAGTGCTCCCAGATTACAAGGGAAGAAAATTCTCGACTATCTATATGCCCTGGAGTGCCAGTACCAACCACCTACAAATCCCTCTACTCCTCACTATCTTCTATCTATCCATCATGACTTCAAAGCTCTCTGTATCCACCAACTTCAATTCCAACTATTCCACGACTCGATTTGAGATGAAGTTGTGAATAGCCCCATTATCCACCAAAACCATCACTAGCCACTTCTTAATATATCCCCTCACCTTAAGAGTGTAATTTGGAGTAAATCTCGCCACTGAGTTAAGGGACACTTCTGCCAGATCAATGTGTAGAAGCTCTCCTCCTGCCTCTGCTTTCTCCTCCAACTCCTTGTTATCGGTCTCCTCATAAACCATAAGAACATGGAGTGTGTAGTCCTTGCACCGATGTCCTAGTGCATACTTCTTATCACATTGAAAGAACAAACCCTTCACTCTCTTATCATGCACCTCTACCTCTATGAGGCGCTTAAAGTTGGCCATAGAGAGAACACCCTCACTCTTTTACCTCGGTGCCTCCTGTTGAAATGACACCATTTGGGTCCTAGTGTGAGAGAAGTCGAGGCACTCCTGTAGAAGCCTCCAGTGAAACTGCTCCTACTTCTCCTCTCCATTTGCCTTCGATCCTCCGCTATACAGACTATTTCCATCAACTCCCTCAACCTCTTTGGCCTTAACAATTGGAGATCTACCATATGTCGGGCTTTAGTCCCTTCATGAAATTTCCCTCCAACACCGCCTCAAAAATCCCCCTTAACCGCCCCAACATCAACTCAAATCTCTCCCTATACTCAATGATGGTCCCCTTCTTAGTCAAGGAAAAGAATTGTAATCCCCCTTAACCGCCCCAACATCAACTCAAATCTCTCCCATTACTTAATGACGGTCCCCTTAGTCAAGGCAACGAATTGCGCATTTAGGTCCCCTTCCCGAATGGCTCGAAAATGCTCAAACAAGCAATAGTTAAACTCCTTCAAAGAGCAGATCAGATATCTGGCCTCTCTCTATTGGAACCAAACAAGAGCTTTCCTCTCCAGACATAGCTCTACGACCATAAGGTTTTCCTCAGTCAACCCATTCACCGCAAAATATCTCTCCACCCAGTACACCGTCCCATGGGCATCCTCCTCTTCAAATATCGGTATCTTTAACTTCCTCAACCTACAACTCCATCTCTGGCCGCCCACTCCCCTTGCCCAAAATGGCTCCCATAATGGTTGGCCACCCTACCACCCCAGCCACATAATTCCACCCTTGTTGTCCCCCCATCTAAAAACTCTGATTTTCCCCTTATCAGAACCTTAGGAGGTAACTCTTGATGAAAGAAACTCTCCTCGTCGAACTCCTCCCAACCAATCTCCTATCCCTAAGATTTCATAAAGGGAATCCCGGTCAAATCTTGGTTAGAGTTAGCAATCGGAACAGCCAGTTGAGTTTTGAATTGCATCTCCATGAGCATCCACATCATCTCCTCCAACCCTCCAAATCGGCTGTCCATCGGATTCTCCTTGGTAGAAAATTTTTCTTCGATCATAAGAACATCTCCTCCATCCTGTATTTGATTTGCTCTACTTTACCTTTCAATGCATCCACCTTCTTTGCTACCATCTCTTCAAAACCTCACTATGATACTAGTTTCATGTATCTTAGAAGAAAAAAATAGTAAAACAGAAAGAAAAAATTGCATGAATACAAATATGAGGATTGAGATTTTATTATTTATTCAATAATAATGAAAGAAACAATTGATCTACTATTTGAGAGGTATATCAGCTCTCCCACAAACCCTAACTGTCACTAGAAAACTCACACCAAACCCTAAAAATAAACTCATCACATATATGATGATAACCCTACACAAAACTCCCTCTTAAATAGCTCTCGCACATAATAAACACAATTGGAACCTTCCTAAATATCATAAACATAATTAAGAAACATTACTAAACAATTAAAACATTCCTAAATAGAATAAACACAATTAGGAAAACTTCATAATAATTAAAACCTTCCTAAACAACATAAACACAATTAGGAAACCTTCCTAATCAGCTTCCCCTTAATTTTTCCTCTATACATAATAAATATCAGCTCTCCTAGGCCCCCCACAAGGAAGCAGAAATCCCCCCTCTGCTGCCCCTAGCTCTGCACAGCCAAAGGACTGATTTGGCTAGGGTTAGGACAGTCACCAGAGCTGGCCTAGGTCAGCGAGCTGACCACCCCTTGGTGTATCATAATATTCTCCTTATGAAGAATTTGGTTGCCCTTTCAATAAAATGCTATCTAGAATTCTCATCTTTCAACCTCCATCACATGTTGAAACTCTTGATTCAAATATAAAGCTTAGAGAAGATATGAATGAGGAACCTATTGATGTCACTCAATAGCAAAAAATAGTTTATTTATCCCACACAAAAAACAATATAGCCTTTTTTGTAAGCCTAGTAAACCAATTTATGCATTTGCCAATAAAAAACATTTATAGGGTACATACAGAATCTTGAAGCATTTAAGAAACCGTACTGGAAATGGAATACTTTTCAAGAAAGGCACTTAGTGCAAAATTCAAGCATATGTTAAATTAGATTAAGGAGGTTCTACTACTGATAGAAGATCCATAACAAATTGCATACCTATGTAAGGGGCAATCTTGTCATATAAAGGAGCAAGAAACTAACTGCAATAGCTCAGAGGAGCACTAAAACTTAATAAAGAGCCACGATCAATGAGCTATGTGAACTACTATAGTTACAATGAGTTTTGATTGAGCTAAGAAAACCTATAGATTATCCAATGAAACCATATTGTTATAATAATACAACAATAATTATAACCAAGCATGTTGAGGTTGATTGCCATTTTATAAGAAAAAAACTTTAAGAGATAATTATTTGCATGCATTTTATTCCAACTTTATAGGAAATCACAAATATCCACACAAAAGCATTGTTCAACTTCAAATATGATTTCGTCATTAGTAAGTTAAGATTGTTTGATATTAACTTCCCAACTTGAGACAGAGTGAAGCATATTAAGTTGAGGATGAATGGGATCCAAGGTGATGCTAGTTGTAAGGGAAAAGAAAAGTGTTCATTGTATTAGGACAGTTACTCCATAAGAAAATTAATGAATAGCTATCACATTTAATTGGAAGAACTTTTTAATTTGAATTTAAAATTTGTATCTTATTTTCATTGGCAAGTTGTCATAGAAATTAAATATGTAAGGATACCAAGTATCCAATAAATAGTGTATTGTTGTTCTTGATTAATAATAAGTCCAAAATATATATTTAACTTCAAAATAGCAACTTCATTTAACTTTCACCCTTTTTTTTGCATTAATTGTATTATGAGAAATGGTTAATGAGAATAAAGGAAATCAAGGTTCTTTAAATTCTCAGAAACGGTTAGTGAGAATTACAAGAAATTAAGGTTGATCAAGGTATGGTTCTTATTTTTAAGTATTTATCATCATTAGGAGTGATATTGAGTTGAATTTGAATGAACCAACCTAAATATGAAATTGAAAATTTTGATTTCAACTTGGCGGAGTTTGACTTGAGTAATAATTGGTTGATTTCAAGCCAAATTTTGAGTAGCTAAGTATATTAATTTTATAATGTATCTTTTAGTCATTAATCAATATATATATATATATATATATATATAAGGTGTACTATCAAATGTATTGAATACAAATACATACGTGTAAATATACACTACTTGTGTTATATAATTGTAAGCACATGTATATTTATGTGTATATATGTTTTAATTCACACAAATATGTGCATGTATCATATATTAAGTCGATTTTAAGTTGAATCAAACTTAATTGAGCGAGCCATCTTCAAGTCAAAGTATATTGATTTTTATTTCAAGTCAATTAAATTTCAAGAATAATCAAGTAAATTTTTAGTTTCGAACATAATTATCATCCCTAATCTTTATTATCCTCATTCTCATTATAAGCCTATCCCTAATTATTTAGTCTAGGTTATATGAATCCTCAATTTCATTCATTCCTATAGAGTAGCATGGAATATTAAAACTACTCACAAAATCTTTGTGCATTACTTCTATATTACTTTAGATTTGCTATTTTCACTCTTAATCCTTCAACAAAAGCACACAAATTATATAACTCAACAACAACAACAACATCAAGCCAATAACCAAACAACAAACATTATATAACTTACCAATAAGAAATTTCTACCTATCATTGTATATGTTCAAGCCATCTAAATCCATTATCAATAACCATATTTTTAATTTATGCTACTCCAATCATACCTCTAGCATAATAATTCTTTAATTCATATAAATTAGTTTTATTATGCATCCATCTTAATATTCTCATTTTTATCATTTACAATTTAATTATTAATGATAATTTATTATTCAACACTATGCAAACATAGCAAAACTAATTGTAGTTTTACTGAAGTTATCTTATCTCTATAATATCCTCTTATTATATAATACTCCAAAGGCACTTCACTAGTTTAACTCAATAATATATCAAATATAACTATCATACATAGCCAATATATGTATTACTTTTATTTTGACAATGTTATTTTTGCACATTGAAAACAAAACCAAAATAGATTTTGGGTGTTTCCGAAGATTTTAGAAAAAAAGTAAAAAAGAAATTCATGGTAACACAAATTAGAAACAAAGACCTAAACTCGTTTTCTGGTTTTAGATCACCAGACTACACAAGCAAAAAAGAAATAGAAGACCGTGTGAGTACTACTGAGATAAAAATTGCAGTATTGATGCAGGTGTTGAGCAACAAGATAACAAAAGTACACAAATGAACACGGTAAAAATACTATCACTACGATAGATGCAAAGTAAATCTAGGATATCTTATGTAAATGACAATGCAAAAATGCAAGACAAGGAACTAATAAGGCTTGCAAAATAGATGGAAATAGAATTTATATGCATATGAGAAAGCCACCGAACATGCAGTGAGAAGAAATAATAACCATATTATTTGAAAGGGTTAGCAAAGAAGATGAGTAGTTCAAAAGAAACTTGGATGTTCAAAATGAACCAAACAAAACTAAACAAAAAAAGTTGTTCATAAAAGAAATGACAAGACAGTTTCACAAAACCAAACAAAAAAATCAGGATCGAGTCTTTTTAAAAAAAGATGATGATGGTTAAAAAAGATGATGATGGTGAACAAGAGTCCGAATTCAAGATGGTAATACAAGTCAAATGCAAAAAAGAAATAATTCAGAAACGGACCGAGTGAAAAGAAGGAATCAAATACAGACCTTCTGACAAACATGTACAAGAGTAGCTTCAATGTCCGCAACATTGAGCTTCCACAAGGAGTCAATCATCAATTTCTTATGAGACCTCAAATATTCTTCTAGTTCTTCATCGGTATAGTTCCCCTCAGTACTAAGCTGCTTCTTCATGTCCTCTTGCAACTGCATAAGAGCTATCGCACCTGTAAAGGATTTAGAAATACCAAAATAAACGTCAAGCAATTCAATAACGTAACCGCATTAGAATAATATGGTGATTCTCGCAGATTGCTAGTGGATGCCTACAAAACCACTAGACATGGAAATGAAGGGCCTATGATCATGCTATCTGCGATACGAAAGAAAAAAACAAGTACTTCTACAGAAATACGAAGATATCATGGAACAAGCAGAAGATGATAGATAATAATTCACCTGTTGCAGCAGTTACTTGGGATTTGATGAAATGGCCTTTGTTTCTAAACCATTCAGCAATAAATGGCACACCTAAATATATTGCTTTTTTTCCTATCTCCTTTGCAGCTTGTCTCGCATAAATGTAGCCAATGGTGTTTAGCATATCAACTCCATAAGCTGTCAAAAGTATCAAATAAACTACTCGAATTACAATATACATAAAAAGATCAAGAAAAATTCATGTAAATATAGAGCTATAAGAAAGGTCATAGGAGCTTCAAACTAAAGGTGGAGGCCCTATTTGTTTGTGATGTTAACAAAACAAACAGACAAGTTGCTATCAAAATGTTGTTGTTAGTAAAGTGGATTTAGTTGTCTAGGAACAACAGTGATGTGGTGTCGATGTTGTGTTATAAACAAAAATATATTATTTTAACTGAAGGGATGACCTATTTTAGAGGATTACGGAGGATCAGAGAAGCCACACTTCCCCTTGCTTTCTTTTTTTTTTTTCTTCGGGTTTTTCTTTTTTTCTTGCTAGATTTTATCCGAGAAAGTGAAACAGATTCAAATTATATTGTCAAAATTTTCTTTTATAACTAGGGTCCAATTAATTTGTTAAAGACGAGGAATAATAGAATGGAAGTGCAGAGAAAGGACGGATAAAACCTGGTCAAGACAAACATGGCTGGAAATTGTTAGAAAAGATTTAGGTAAGACAGAACCAGCACAAGGTGTAATCATTGACAAGAATGGATGCTAAGAGTTTAGAGCTCTCCAGGTTGGTATCCAAGTCACCCTAGCGTGATGGGAGAATGTCCATATGAATATATTGATAAGAAAAAGAAACTAAACAACTTACCCAACTCTGACAGGTGTTACCTTCTCGCGGTCATTGGGTGTGCTGATTGAATCATAGGTGTTCTTTTTGCTCTTTCAATGAGCATAACAATATTAGAAATTGAGAAGGGAAGTTGTAGCCGGAAAAACATATCCACCCTTCAGTTTTTCTTATTAATCAATCAATATGAAATGGATGGTAGCACTCCTAAATAATTTAATTATAAAAAACTCATAACAAGATATAGGATGTCAGGGTATAAAATTTCCAAAGCAAATATACTATAAAATGAAAATCATGGAGCATATTGTTATATCGGTCCAACCGGTTTAACCTGGACCAGCTGTTGGAGGCGGAATATATACACATGTTTGGAGGCATAACAGATCTGCCTAATTAGGCGGACAGGTCTCTTCCTATTAACGGCAAAAATTATGCATGTTTTAGGTGGATAGGCTTCAGCTAATCACAGGGTACAACTAGTGGGATACAAAGAATTCAAATGCAAAGGGCTATTTACGGATTTGAGATATTTTTGTATGCTTTAAGTAGGGTTTTTTCCTAGGGTTAGGGTTAGGTCTTGTTTGCTAAATTTGAGAGTATTCTTAGAATGTTTTGGATTTTAGCCGTCGGCTAAAGATTGGGAGTGCTGGATCCTCCTCTATAATTGAGGATCTATTGTATCTTATATGTTTTCTTCCATCTGCCATCAATAAAATCGTTTCTCACTTGTGTTTCCCCTACATTCTTCTTAATTCTATTTTTGCACCTTGCTGAAATTCAAATTCAAGTAAGTTTATTGTGATTTTGACTAGTATTACCTATCAAATTGGTATCAGAGCAATTTACTGGATTGAAATAAGAAGACTTGCTAATTTCTACTATAGTCTTCCTGTTTTAGTAGTTTAAAGACCAGAACTGCAATATTATGGACATTTTTGTTGTTTGGAGCTTAGATATGAGCACCTATGGTATGAAAAAAATTAGAATATTGGAGAGGGAGATTGGAGAATTGAAATCTAAAATTTTAGATCTCCAAACTCAAGTTTCATATTTCAAAAGTCAAATTTCAGTCGTCCATGAGAAGATAGATGGGGCCAGACCAAAACAGCATAGTCGGAAGAGCGGGAAGCCATTGATAGCCAAGGAAGTAAGAAAAACCCTAATCGGATAAGGCGAAGGAAAGATCAGGAAGTGGAGATTGTGGAGGGAGAAAAGACAATGCTTCCCCTAGAGCATATTTCTAGGGAGGAGTCTGGTCGAGGGAATGGGGAGAGGCATCAAGCCATCAAGGGTTTGGGCATGAGCAGAGGCGTGTTGAATTTGGAAGGAGATGGGCTAAATTTGAAAGAAGATGGCTTGATTATAATCGAAGGGGTGGCAAATTTGAAAGGTGAGAGCTTGATTATGATAGAAGGGGTGCCAAATTTGAAAGGAGAGGATTATTGTGATCGAAGGGGTGTTGGGGAATGGGGAATTATTAAGGAAAAAAGGTGATGGGGGGAATTAAGGGTGAGGAGGCTCAAGATACCTATTTTTTAGGGAGATAAAGCACATGAGTGGATCTACATGGTGGAAAGGTACTTTACCGTCAATAGGTTGACAGAGGAGCAGCGACTGATGGCGGCCAGAATGTGTTTGAAGGATAAAGCTATAACATGTGTCAGTGGAGGGATAAGATGCAGTCCATACGGACCTGGAGGGAGTTTAAAAACTGCTTGTTGGGATGTTTGCGAACTAGAAGGGAATGGGACTTCTATGAGCAGTTATTTGCCCTGACGCAAAAGGGGTCAGTGGTGGAATATAGTGAGTAATTTGAGTGCCAAGCCAACACATTTATCAGAGCAAATGAGAGAGATTTGACTATAGGAAATTTGATGTTTTTTTTTTGTATGGTATGCATGCCATTCATTGCATTTGCTTAATACATTTAAACATTTTTTGTTGTATATAGATGATGCACTAGCAAGCTTCTATATGCATTTGCAAAATTAACTTGCATATTTTCTGGTACATTTATACGATGCAATTGCATGGTTTTTAAGATATTATAATTGAGTTTGAATGATGTTTAAAGATGTATGTGAATGATTTATAAATATCAAGATTTTGTAGTTTGCACAAATATTTGGTCATTAGGATGCATGCAAACTTTATTTTGAGTCTTTTAAATAATGCCTTTTGTCTTCTTGCACGAATGTATTGCGAATTCGATGGCATATTTGCAATGAACAGTTTTGTTGTGCATTCAAACCATTGCTAGTTTTCTTGTATTTGATCCACAATTTGTCCTATGAAATATATCTTCACTTGTAAATCGAGGCACTAATGTAATTCATTTTCACTCCCAATTTTCAGATCATAGCTTATAGTGTTCTCATTATAGCAATGAGTTCTATTTGTGCATGTTGGCAAGCTACCAAGCTCTATTATTGCTCATTGGTGAGCTGTTGAGCTCCCTATAAGTCTTGTTTGCATCAATTTAATGTCGTAAAGCGAAAAATATTTCATTAGAAATATTCAATTTCATTCCTATATTACATTTATTGTAAATTTTTTATTTTTGTTATGTCACAACCCCACGTAGGACACAATGGAGAAAAAGGATTCATGTAGCCGACTCCACGTAGTGGGATAAAGACTTGATGTTGTTGTTGTTGTTGTATGTGACAACCCGGCCTGAAAACTAGAATTAACGAGATGGGAATAGAAGATTGGACATATATTAAAGATTTCATTTACTAACCAGTTCCAATACAATGAAAGAGTCACTAAAACCTCAAATGCAGTTTAATGAAAAGAATATTATAACTATTTTGACAAATAAATTTGTCACGCATCATCACGCTAACGATACAAGTTCCGTCATCTTCCTCTCATTTAAATTCTTATGACAATACATGTGAATGTTTTTAAATATAGAGTAAATCATAACAAAACTTAGTGAGTACTCCATGCTTCTAAAATCTAAATTATAATAATACAAGACATTTTAATCAACATGCATGCTTACTGTAAAAATAAAAAATAAATTTATTTAATAATACTTAAGTTTGAAAATGACTATCAATCATATCTTATACATATATGTACTGCTCATATTATGTCATAACATTTTCTATACAAATACAATCATCAAAGAAGACACTATCTAAATAGTACCATTAAAGTTACTTTTATTTTTATTTCCTTTTCCATAATCTTTCTCAAAACATTTTGCATTTGACATGTGTGGAAACATTACATCACCAGCTAGTATCATAAAGGGTATACTCCCTCAATCAACATGCACATGCAAACATTCTGATATGTGCTATTTCATTTAAATTTTCATAATATATAATATTTTGCTATCACTCACTCATATTATATAACATAAACAAAACTGCTAAAGAAAACATGAATTATTTTGTATTTCAACATGGCCTACCTTACTATAACAAAATTTAATCATAAATGAATTTGGAGTAACAGTTGTACAACTAAAGAGCATTTTTGTATAATAAATTAAAAAAAAGTAATATTATTTCTATAAATTAGAAATATAAGTACTGACCTCAAATTCAAATGTTTTAAAAATTTACTTTTAATCCTAACTCCGATGTCAATATATTTAACGCATATATAAAGACCTTGTTACCATAAAAAAATTTCTATGATGAAAGAGAGAGACCTTTCTTTATTAGAATTAAATGAGAATTTGACTTTTAAAAGGACAATGGAGAAAAAGGATTCATGTAGCCGACCCCACGTAGTGGGAAAAAGGCTTGATGTTGTTGTTGTATGAGAGAGAGAGAGAGAAAGAAAGAGAGAGAGCAAGAGGAGCAAGAGAGTGCAATAGAGAGAGAGAGAGAGAACAAGAGGAGCAAGAGAGCAATAGAGAGAGAGGGAGAGCAAGAGAGAGAGCAATAGGGAGAGAGAACAAGAGAGAAATTTTTATAACTCAATTTTTAAATTTGTTTTTTAAAATTAGTTTATAACTTATCATAATAATATAAATTTCTCTCATATAATATGCTCTATCTTTCTTTCTCTTTTTTTTTAAAAGAAATATTCTTTCTCTGCATATATAAATTTACTGAAATTTAATCAAAAAATCATAACCTAATAAGTAATATTTTAAATTTACTATTATAACTTTTCATTTATATTTATATACCGTAATTAATTAATTTTTATTTTTAAATTTAGGCATAATCATTAATCATTTAATCTATTATTTGTATAATTAAAATCACTTATAATTTATAAATTTGTTCTCTCGCACAAAATAAATAAAATTCATATTTTATTTAAATCTACTAAATGATGATTTACTTTCCTCTAATCCTTTCTT